TCTCTCTCTCTCTCTCTCTCTCTCTCTCTCTCTCTCTCTCTCTCTCTCTCTCTCTCTCTCTCAGTCTCTCTCTCTCTCTCTCTCTCTCTCTCTCTGTGATATGGGTATGAATGGGCGTTTGGAGCAGAAGATTGTCTGCACCATAGTGCGGTAGGCAATGCTCTCTACAACTCGTCTTTCTCGCTTTCTGTCAAGTGGGCAGAACATCCCTCTCCGTGCAATTGTGTCCGCACCTCATCCCTTGATTGTGTAATTGGCTCCTCATTCTCATGCTTATCCACATTCCTATCCACATTTTCAACAGGCTTGGGAGGATTCACAGCCTCGGTCTCAGCGCCGGGTGACCGACTGGACTCTGTCACTGCTTCTTGCTTCTGCTGCTGCTGCTGCTGCTGCTCGTGAGGAGGACCAGTTAGAATATCTTCCTGCTGCTCACTCTCCCATCTGACAAGATAAGGTAGCAAGCTTTTTCTTGATGGTGAGCTCTCGTCGAGAGCAATCCGATGAGTAGCAGACGGTTCCGATCCCGATCCCGATCCCGATCCCAATCCCAATCCCGATTCCGATTCCGGTTCCATCTCCCCGAACCCCATTCTCTCCAACATCAACCGAACCACATTTTCGGCGGCAATCGCAGCTGCTTCCATCCCACCAAATACCGACTCTAAGGCATTGGCATTATACAGATGATGATCGTCGAGCAAAAATGCGCCAACGGGTGAGGGCGACGAGAACTCTACGAACGGGGTCCATGTGGTTCGCCACGTGGCTCTCGCTGACCTGGTAACATGCAATGGATAAGCCATGAAGATTACAATTTAATAAATTAATTCTTTCAGTTGCGTGACAATGTGTGAGTGCGTGCGTGTGTGTGTGTGTGTGTGTGTGTGTGTGTGTGTGTGTGTGTGTGTGTGTGTGTGTTTTAGTGAAATTTTAATTTTTTGCCGGTAATAAGTAACCAGACTGTCGCCCCCAGAACGAAGGGGCTTCCTTCTTTTTTTTTTTTGCAATTTTTTTTTTCTTCTTCATATTTTCGAAATGACAAGCAGCATGCCTACCGTCCTTACGCGAAAACAAGGTACGTAGTCGGGGGGAATACGAAACAGTTTGTCACAGCCCCTCGTTTGTTGTCCTCTTCTCTCTCTCTGCCTACGGTTTACCGGGCAGTTCTGTTTGTGACGATATGGTTCAGCCTCCTTATGAGTCGGTGAAACTCCGACGAAACAGTTTGTCACAGCCCCTCGTTTGTTGTCCTCTTCTCTCTCTCTGCCCACGGTTTACCGGGCAGTTCTGTTTGTGACGATATATATATATATCGTCACAAACATATATATATATATATATATATATATATATATATATTCCTGAGGCGAGGGGGAGGGGGGGAGCCCTGCACGTGTGTCGTCGTAAGCAGGCGTGTCGGGGATGCTGGACACCATTTCCAGCACGTGTAGCTTCCCACCACTAGATGAGAACCATAGGGGGCCCTCCCATTGAGGTTGCTCATATCATATCCATACCTCGGTCCTCTGCTGTTGGTAGTGTGCAGCAAAAAAAAAAAAAAAAAAAAAAAAAGAACACCCCAGAAAAAAAAAGAACCACCCCGAAATATCTCAGGCAAGGCACACCTCGAATACAGCTTACGTAAATACACCGTACGTATCTTGTATTCGAATACAATTTACGTACCATGTATTCGAATACAACACGCGTACCTTGTATTCGAATACAACGTACATACCCTGTTTTTCTTTTTTTTTGTTTTTTTTTAGTTCCTTGTATTTGAGAGTACCTTCTATTCAAAAAATTAACAGCGATTTCTCGGAACCCTTTTTTCGGAGGTAACTTCTTCTTCTTTTTTTTTTTTTTTTTTTTTTT